GTCTCACTGTGACTCCCAGGCTGGAGTGCAATGGCCTGATCTTGGCCAACCTCTGCTTCCTTGGTTCAAGCAATTCTCCTGCCTCAGCCTCCTGAGTAGCTGCGACTACAGGCATGTCCCACCAGGCATGGCTAATTTTTGTATTTTTAGTAGAGATGGGGTTTCACCATGTTGGCCAGGCTGGTCTCAAACTTCTGACCTCTAGTGATCTGCCCGTCTCAGCCTCCCAAAATGCTGGGATTACAGGTGTGAGCTACCACACCTGGCCGTCGTTTAATCTTTCTTATGGGCTCCTTATTCTCAGACAAGCTGATATGTAGGTATATACTATGTCCTGCAAATTCTGCTCTTCTGTCTTGTGTTTCTTATTTTACTGTATGTCTTCATGGTTTCTCCATTCTGAGAACTCTGAGTCATCTTATATATTTTGATTTGTGGAAGCCTTGTTATATTTTCAACGTGAGATTGTATAGATGTTTTGGTTTTGGTTTTAGTTCAGTTATTTCCTTGAGTTTAAGGAGTCATGATGGTGGGTGATGAATTTAGTGAGCATGTTTTTTCTCTTCAGGAAACTAAATGATACAGTGCTTCATTGGTTGTAATGCAATGTTTTCCTCCAAGGCAGTATGTATAATTGATAAGACTGGTAGTAATTTGTGTATGTGTGACTTTTAAGTGTAATACATGTTTTTAAATTGTAATGTGAGTTTCAGTTTACATTTTTTATTGTGAAAAACTTCAGCAAGCCTCCATATACCAATTATCCAGCCTTAACAATTTTGATTCATGGCCGTTATCTTGTTTCAGCTGTGCTCCACCTGCTGCTTTGCCTCTCCACCTCATCACCTTCCTTTATCACTGGATTATTTTAAAGCAAATCCCTGGTCATCATGTTACTCACAAATATTTCAGTATGTATACCTCAAAGATAAGCACTTAAAAAAATAGAACCACAGTGTCATTAACATAATTTTCATTTTAAAATATGGAAAATAATTCAATAGCATCAAATTAACAGCCAGTGTTTGTTTCTACAGTCATCTCAGTTGTTTTCCACTGTTTGCTTGAATCAGGTTTCAGATGAGATAGATACATAATATTTAGTTGATGTGTCTTTTAAACCTCTTTTAATCTGTATTTTCCCTCCATGCACCCCCACTGCCTCCCCTCCACCCCTCCGACACCTTTTGTCCATGCAGTTTATTTGTTGAAGAAACAGGATTATTTGTGTTGGGAACACTCTCTCTCTGTTCCTCCCCACTCTACCCAGGAATATGTCATAGGAAGTGTTCCGTATCTCTATCAGCAAGCATATAATGTCTGGATTCTCTTTGTGATACAGCAGCAGTTTTTGATATTGTCTACATAGGTTCATTCATTAGGGGTGGCAAGGGTGTTTTAAAAATAAATTTGTAATGTAAATGTATGGGATAAATGACATCAGTTCACTTAGCTTTTTTGATGAAGGTTTGTTCTATAAATATTAATACAAAGTATCAAATTCAATGTATTATCCACTAAATTTTCATTATTTTGTAGGAAGAGTGTCTTCCAAAGTGTTCTTCACTCTTTTTGCCCTGCTTGGTTTCTTCATTTGTTTCTTTGGACACAGATTCTGGAAAACAGGTATTACGTCCAGTGTAGTTGCTATTTACATCTTTGTTGTCTTTTCTCTTTAATGTTGCCGGGGAATGAGGAGAGTAAGCACTTACTTATTTCTACTATCTTCATAGATTTGTGGCTGGGGTCTTGTAGTCATGAGTCTACTGAGTTGCACTGCATTTTTATTTTTTTCTATTCTCCCTAGAGTACAACCTTCTCTTATTAACAGTGGAATACAATTATGCAGTGTATTTTTTCAGCTGCTAGATCTGTTAGTTGACTAATGATAACTGAGATTATAAATTGGTTGTCAGGGCTGGACGTAGTGGCTTATGCCTGTAATCCCATCATTTTGGGAAGCTGAGGTGAGGGGACTGTGTGAGGCAGGAGTTTAAGTCCAGTCTAGGCAACATAGTGAGACCCACTTCTCTACCAAGAAATGAAAGAAAAATTGGGGCTGGATGCTGTGGCTCACACCTATAATCCTAGCACTTTGGGAGGCCGAAGCAGGTCAATTGCCTGAGCTCAGGAGTTCAAGCCCATGGGCAACGTGGCGAGACGGTCTCTTTCAAAAATACAAAAAAATTAGCCGCGCATGGTGGTGTGTGCCTGTAGTACCAGCTATGTGGGGAGGCTGAGGTGGGAGGATTGCTTGAGCCTGGGAGACAGAGGTTGCAGTGAGCCAAGATCGTGCCACTGTACTCCAGCCTGGGTGACAGAGTGAGACCCTGTCTCCAAAAATAAAGAAGAATGAAAAAAAAAGAAAGAACTTGGTTGTCTTTGTAAAAATACGTGTGGGTTTTTATGATGGCGACTGACTTAGTTTCATATAAATCAGCCTGTAGGGCTGCAGTGTACACTGAATTTGAAATGTGTACCTGAATCTGCTCAGACCTGAGCAGATTCAGGTTCCAAAGGGAACGCCCGCATCCACATCAGTGAAACACACTGAAGGACTGGGGTGTAAATTGTGCTCACTGAATTGGTTTGAATTATTTGGGCTGCCTTTTATATAAGTGATGTTTTCGATTATTAAAAAATCCTTATTGGCCGGGTACAGTGGCTCACGCTTGTAATCCCAGCCCTTTGGGAAGCCAAAGGCGGGTGGATCACCTGAGGTCGGGAGTTTGAGGCCAGCCTGGCCAACGTGATGAAACCCCATCTCCACTAAAAAAAATACAAAAAATTAGCTGGGTGTAGTGATGGATGCCTATAATCCCAGCTGCCCGGGAGGCTGAGGCAGGAGAATTGCTTGAACCTAGGAGGTGTAGGTCTCAGTGAGCCAAGATTGCACCATTGCGCTCCAGCCTGGGCAATAAGAGCGAAACTCTGTCTCAAAAAAAAAAAAAAAAAAACTTGTTTAATCAACCAGGTGTATAACTGAGTAGCAAAGGTAGAGCAAATGTAATCTTGATCTAATAAAGCTCTTTAAACTTGTGTTAAGTTGTTTGAAATAGCAACTCCTTTCCCACTATTATGATACTTTTTTTTTTTTTTTAAACTGGGAAGAGAGTATTGTGAAGAATATATAATACCTCAACATGTGGGATGATTCTGTAACAAAGAGCTTAGTTGCTAACCTGTAGACTCAAAGTTATCACTAGCTTTTTTTTTTTTTTTTTTTTTTTAAGAGATGGAATCTCACTATGTCTCCTAGGCTGGAATGCAGTGCAGTGGCTGTTCACAGGTACAATCATAGTGCACTACAGCCTCAAATTCCTAGCCTCAACTGATCCTCCCTCTTCAGCCTCCCAAGTAGCTGAGACTACAGGCACAAGCCACCATGCCCCACTCTAAGTTTTTTTGGTATGTTGATATGTATAATTTTGTATTTATTGAAATGGAGATACAGTACAAGCATTACCAAAAACAACTGTGAAGAATTTAATAGTTGGAGCTATGGCTTCCATGATCAGGATTAGGCTTATTTGTGGGAACAGAGTTATCTGTATGCTTGCATTACCAGGTGTTTTAATGGATGAAGGTAATGAGTGATCATTCTAAGCAGGATAGGATGAATTTAAAGAAGATATAAAAGTTATATTTTGCTTTGGAACAGTTTGGGTTTCTTTTTACGTTTTATTTATGCTAACAAAACTATTCAAATTTAGTGTGTAATTTCAGATTAGACACAAATGACAAAAGTGCTATTCTTGTTTTAAGCAGAAAACATAAATATACTAAAATGAGCTATGAAATGAACAAATAACAGTTTAACAATTGATACTGACCTATATACAAGAAAGTGTATTCTGTAGTTAGTACTTTAATGTTGTATCTGTTTAATAATAATTACTCCCATGACTGCTGAATTTCTTCTGCCCTTTAGACAACTTTTTTTTCTCTGAATGCTGTAATATGTAAATTCCAGAAGCTTAAGCATGTATTTGTAGATTAAATATTTAAATTGCATTGTAAAAAAAGGTGCCTAACCATAGCTTTTGTTGTTTTGCTTTTTTCCTTTCCTGGTGGTTTGCCACTTAGAATTATTCTTCATAGGCTTTATCATCATGGGATTCTTCTTTTATATACTGATTACAAGACTTACACCTATCAAGTATGATGGTAAGTGAAAATTACGTAGTTTAATTGGGTATTCAAGAAGGCAGGTGCCGTGTTTTACTGTACGTTTCCTTCTGCAGTTTGGCCCGTGTGTGTAAAATAATGGTCTACCTACGCTCTGAACATCTTTTCTGAACTACTCATTCAGACCTTCTGGGTTTTTAATCTGTATGATGAATTCCTTGGTACTTAGGGAAAGGAGGGCCCATATTGATTATAAATCTGTGATTTGGCTATGTGATATGTTGAAGATATGAGATGTACAACAAGCAAAATGTTGAAGTTTTCTTTACCTAAAAACAGACACCCCCCCCCACCCCATTACATTTAACAGAATGCTTGTCACCTTTTCTTCCTCAACCCCAATTTATTGACAAGCCAAGCCTGTTACTGGTCCTGTGGGGTTTTAGCTCCCTGGCTAGTTTCTTTGTCTCAGCGCAGACCCCTCTCTAGAGAGGGTTGCTCTGTGCTGGCTTCATGGCACCACTGAAGAGCCCTCAGTGCCTGACCTAAAGAAAGCTGAAGCTGTCGCTGGTAACGGTATTGTGTGTCTAGGGCATGCGATTGGAAGTACTACTGGTGATCCAGCAGTTCATCCTCTTTCTTTGTATAGTGCGTCTGATTCTGACAGCTGTCGCTGGAAGCGTCGGTGGAATGTTCTTGGTAGCTGCGTGGTGGCGATGTGGAATACTCTCGATCTGCATGCTCTGTGTTGGACTAGTGCTGGGGTTCCTCATCTCGTCAGTGACTTTCTTTACTCCACTGGGTAGGCGACATGTAACTGATGGTTTGTGTGTCTGAGTCACTGTTTGAATACTGTCTAATTGGATTTGCATCCTGGAGTGGTGTCGCATGTCAATGATTTTCCTGTGGAGTTCTGGAAATCTGCACTGATGGTGTGACACTTCCAGACAGCACCAAAACCAGTAGGAGTCCCTCCTTCCTCACAGGCACATTAGATGAAATATAGAATGTCTTTAGAGTTAGCTTTGTATCTGTTTGTTGTGATAAGGGGTGTGTGTTGATTAGAAATAATGGAGGTAAAGGGGCACTGCTCTGATGGCAGCTGAGTTGGGGAACCTGATTATTTGTTTCTGGTCTTCTCTTGTACCCTCAACTTCTACTCCCACCCTCTGTCAAACCCCAGGTGTCGCTGAGGTACCTCATCACCCTGGGGCTGTAGCACAGGGATGGTTCTAGGGTTTTTTTTGGTGTTTTAAAAGAAGTAATTCAATTGCTATCAGTTTTTTACATGTGGTTAACTTACAAGTTAACTTTCTTTGCCATTGTTTAATAAGTTACATTTCCTGATTGTTGCCAAAAACAAAAAGAGTATCTGTATTCAAAAGTACTCTATTTGGCTGTTTCCTTTCTGCCATAATGTTCTTCAAATATTAGAATAAAGTTGATGGGACTGTTAGATATTAAAATAGCCATTTCATGAGGCTGTCAACTCTAGAGAATGCAGGAGATTATAATAGAGTACAAGTCCCTTGTCTCCCTGAAGACTTTTTTTTCTAAGACCACAAAGAATTGACAACCTGTGTTTACTGTCTATCCAAGGCCCTTTGTTCTGACTTTAGCAAAACTGGAGCCAAGCATATTCCTCCTGGCCCTGCTACAGGTAGCCTTTTATCTGGACAGTCTGATGAAAAGCAGTGTTGTTTAGGCTTGGCTAAATGACAGATTCACATGGGGATGTTTTTGAAAATACAGATTCAAGGCTGTATCCTAGAAGTGCTAAATAAACTACTACTTAATGGCTGGGCATAGTGGCTCATGCCTATAATCCCAGCACTTTGGGAGACCAACTGGGAGGATTGCTTGAGCTCAGGAGTTTGAGATAGCCAGGGCAACATAGTGATTCCCCATCTCTACTAAAAATAAAAAAAATTATCCAGGTGTGGTAGTACATGCCTGTGGTCTCAGCTACCCTGGGAGGCTGAGGCCAGAAGATCACCTGAGCCTGGGAGGTTGAGGCTGAAGTGAGCTATGATGGTGCCACTGCACTCCAGCCTGGGTGACTGAACAAGACCCTGTCTCAAAAACAAAAAGACCACAAAAACCAAATACCATTTACTGGGCTTCCCCCCTTTTGTTAATGCTTAGAGCATACAGGAATGATAGGTTAGAATTTCTAGTAATTAATGTGCTTTTCATGAGTAGAATGAGCATGAATTGTAAAGTGTGAAAGAAAACCCTCTACATGCATTCTGGCTCTGTCACTAGTTCCCTTACTAGCTTATAACCTTGGACAAGGTATTGAAACTTTGTTCCACCATCTGTGAAACTATCTCATGGGATAGATGTGAGGAATGAGAAAATAGAAATAGAGAGGTCTCTTAATTTTCATCTTCATAAAAGTAGCCTAGAGCAGGTTGTCTCTAAACTTGTTGACATACTATTCCTATTGGTAAAAATAATTTTAGCATATGCTCTTTATATATGTTTATTTATGAACTATCTCATAGCTCAAGGACAGTTAGGGTGAGCATCACAATGCTCGTGGGTCCAAACATATGTTTTTATTTTTTAGAGACAGGGTCTCTTTCTGTGACCCATGCTGGACTGCAGTGGTACTGTCATAGCTCACTGCAACCTCTAACTTCAAGGTTCGAGCCACTCTCCTACCTCAGCCTCCCAAGTAGCTGGAACTACAGTTTTTTTTATTTTTAGTAGAGACAGAATCACTATGTTGCCTCGGGTGGTCTCAAACTGGGCTCGGGCAGTCCTCCCACCTTGGCCTCTGAAGTGTTGGGATTACAGGCTTGAGCCACTGCACCTGGCCTCTCTCTCTCTCTCTCTCTCTCTCTCTCTCTCTCTCTCTATATATATATATATATATATATATATATATACAGACACACACATACATATATACATATATTTACACACACACACACACACACACACACACACACACACACACGTTTTTTCTGAGACAAAGTCTCACTCTGTCTCCCAGTCTGGAGTACAGTGGTGCAATCTTGGTTCACTGCAACTTCTGCCTCCAGAGTTCAAATGATTCTCCTGCCTCAGCCTCCTGAGCAGCTAGGATTACAGGCACATACCACCCCGCCCGGCTAACTTTTATATTTTTTAGTAGAGACTGGCTTTCTTCATGTTGGTCAGGCAAGTCTCAAACTCCTGACCTCCAATGATCCGCCCGCCTTGGCCTTCCAAAGGGCGTGGATTACAGGCATGAGCCACTGCACCCAGCCAAGAGGCCTACCCATATTTTTAAGCATTAACATTTGAAAAATATTTGGCTGACCTCTCTGTTCTGATTAGGTTACTAATTTCTACTTTATGTGGGTAGCGACGAGCTTATACTCTGAAAGAGTCCATTCTTCACATGCATGCATCATAACTATTTTCAATCCCTCGATTTCTTGAAAGCCTTTTTTTTTTTTTAAAAATAAAGCCACATATATATTTTGTGAAGGTTAATATAGTTAAACTAGAGAATATAATCTGTAGGTTCACCTCAATGGCATGTTGCTGTTGGCTTCAGAGAATACGGAGTTTCAAGGTCCAATCCTGTAGCTTAGAGATTCCCACTCTGACCTGGAACATGTAGGTCTTATGGACTGAATGATGGTGCCAGTGTCAGTATTAAACAGCAGTCAGGCTATTCTTGCTTTTTAAACTTAACTTATAAAGAGGAGTTCTCATATATTTGTTCTGGGTCAGAAAATTTGTGCAGCATTTTGAAGTCCAGCAGCAGAGAAGTGTTTGGGAAGAGCAGATGGTTTGGTTGGTTCCTCCTTTCTGATACATGAGGAAATCACATGCCACAGTGTGCAGTGGCATGTAGGACATGCTTTGATGGTAAAAATCTGTTAAGTGGATTTGCTGTTTACAGTGGGTTCATGGCTTAACTTCGAGAGCCTTTATTTGTATTTTTTATTTTGCAGTACAAAATCATGAAGTCAGAAATGTAGCACTAAAAGGGGTGATTTAGAGCTTGGAGATAATATAATTCAATCTCATTTTGAGGGTTAGGAAACTGAGGCTCAAGGTCACAGAGCTAGTGAATGGAAGAGCTTGGACTGTGCCAGTCTCTTCTAAATTATTCTGTTAATAAATGCAGAGCGTTTACCTGCTTGATTCCCCCCGACCCACCCACTTTCTAGAACACATTCCTTCAAAGAAGATTGACAGTTAAATGAAGAAAATCAGAATTCATTTCTAGTTGCCAACATATTTCCTGGTTGTTACTTTAAGCCTTTGATGTATATGTGTGTTTGGATGTTCCAAGAAATGAAGTCTAACTTGGTAAAGCTGTTGTTTACTCTTAGTTTCTTTTTGCTTTTTCAGGAAACCTAAAGATTTTTCACGACGATGGTGTATTCTGGGTCACTTTCTCTTGCATAGCTATCCTCATTCCAGTAGTTTTCATGGGCTGCCTAAGAATAGTAAGTGTCTCATCAAAAGTTAGATTTATTCATTATGTTATCCTGTGTGTTCAGCTGATCACTTATTTCATCATTTTGCATGTTTTATTCACTGGGGAGGACTGTGTTATTTCTATCAGATGACTGCTTCTAAATAGCCTTGTTACTATGAAAGCAAAGGAAGTTCTATTTGTGATTATCACATGATGGTTTTTTTTTTCTTCCACCAAATGGCATATGCTTTTAACAGTAGGGGCAGAGAATGTAGTGCTTACTCTAGTCCACCAACCCAATGGGTCATTAGTTTCAGCTGGCATCACAAGCGTGGTTCTTCATCTAATTAGGTTTATTGTTGAAGTTCCTTCGCAGGGAAGATATTTCCATAGTATTTGGACACGCTGAACTGTGTTTTAAGAATTCATATGGATATTGAAGGTTGTTTTCAGTTTATCTTTCCAGGGAAATTCTGTTCAGCTCTCAGAGTGGGTCTGGTCCCTTTTCATGCCTGAGGGAGCAGAAGTGATTGCCTGTCATTGAAGCCAGTGGACAGTTAGAAATGATTTTTGTTTTATCAGGGATGATGCCTAAACTCTTCCACTCTTCCACAGCTGAACATACTGACTTGTGGAGTCATTGGCTCCTATTCGGTGGTTTTAGCCATTGACAGTTACTTGTCCACAAGCCTTTCCTACGTCACTTTGAATGTACTCAAGAGAGCACTCAACAAGGATTTCAGCAGAGCTTTCACAAATGTGCCTTTTCAAACTAATGGTAAGACTCTTAAATCCAAAAACCAGTGTGACAGCACAGTAAGAGTCTTGACCCACCTGTGCTAACCAGAACACTTGGGAACTAGATGTAAAGAAAGTCAGCTGGGACAAAAGAAGGAAACACAGCATACAGTGCTTTGAGAGCCCTCCGTTATGGTAACTTAGGATTATGGGAACAAGGCATTTAAAATTTTAAGATGATGATAAAAATCTACTAGATGAATTTCACTAAGAAATTTCCAAGATTATTTAGGTTTACCTGGTCATTCTCAGTGGGGAGAAAAATGCTGACAGTAAATACGTTTGACACTTATGGGTGGGGGTGGAATGAGGGATGAGAATGACAACCTGATTTAATTTTAAGTTATTCCCTTGTTTCCCTCCCTTTAATGAAGCATGCAATTTGCTAGTTGAAAGAGCTTTTGATTAGTAAGCCTGTAGTGTCCCTCACTTGTAGGATTCTATCCATTCAATTTTCTGTAAAATTTTTGAAGAAAAAAAATGACTACCACATGAAATGTTCACAGATTTTGTAAGATATGTTGACTTCAGAAATGTTAAAATATGGAGAGTGAAAAAGCATGTCTTAGAATTGAAGATACATGATAATTGTGATTGTTACGATTTTATTTTACGGTAGATCTTTCCCTCTACTATCTAGAGCTTTCCCTTTGGATAAGAGGTTGAAGGTAGAGACCTTGAAATCCTCTAAAACCTTAAAACTCTCCCAACTTCTCAGTACCAGTGTTTTGCCAAGCCTTTTACTAGAAGCTGAGTACGATCGGTTGAATCTTTCCATGCATTCCTGTACCTACTCTGTGAGTGCAATAGGGTCCCATACAGAGTGGAATGGGAAAGAAATGAGCATGGTGGCATCTGATGTTCCATGATGTACATATGTGAAGTATAACTAGATCACTGCCTTCCTCCCTGAACCCCCTCTGAAAAACACGCAAACAACTGTGGGTACTTGTTACATACATGTTGTAAGGCTAAGGATCCAAACAACTGATTCTTTTACAATCTGTCTGGACTTTCAAATGCTTGTAATAGAAAATTCCTAGTTTCAAAAATAAGACTGTGGCTTCCCCACTGATTCCTTGGTTTGTAAGTGAGGAACTACATACGCGTTTGGGCTAACTTACCAGAAAGTCTATTAGAAAGGAAGATACAGATTTAGTCCATGAGAGTTGTGTTATTATGTTAGATTTTAAAATACTAGAGTTCAAACTACTTTTCTACTGTTTTTTTTAGACTTTATTATCCTGGCAGTATGGGGCATGCTGGCTGTAAGTGGAATTACGTTACAGATTCGAAGAGAGAGAGGACGACCATTCTTCCCTCCCCATCCATATAAGTTATGGAAGCAAGAAAGAGAGCGCCGAGTGACAAATATTCTGGACCCTAGCTACCACATTCCTCCTTTGAGAGAGAGGCTCTATGGCCGATTAACCCAGATCAAGGAGCTCTTCCAGAAGGAGCAGCCAGCTGGAGAGAGAACACCCCTGCTTTTATAGATGCCCAGGGGGTTGGTCAGTGTGCCTCAGCTTTGGCGTTCATGCCCGAAGTGCTTCACCAATCTCTGGTGCAAGTCTAATAAAAGATCAGGCATATATATCTGTGCTTTGCATAATATTATGGTGCCCTTACGGATATATGGTAAGGGTATACTAGGGGATTAGGATTATTCTAAGAGAATGAGAAAGATGACCAAAAAGTTATGGTAGGGAAGCTTTTCTTTATTTCCAAATATTTGAGAAATTACCTTTTGGTTTACAAATCTATGATCAACTTATTCCATTAAATAGATACATTACAAAAAATTAAAAACTGATTCTCCTGCAGAGCCCTGGTGTTTCTTTTTATAACCCCTTAAAACAAGTCTCTCACCTGAATCTATCTAATCTTGGGGAGGTAGTTTATTTTAGTGTTGTACTGAGTCTTTATTTGTGACAGTGTTTGGAAATTTAGGGATTTGATACTTGGGACTTTGAATTTTGGAATACAAAATGAGAAGCAGGCCAGGCATGGTGGCTAATGCCTGTAATCCCAATACTGGGAGGCCAAAGTGGGAGGAGGTGGGAAGATCACTTGAGCCCAGGAGTTTGAGACTAACATGGGCAACATGACAAGACCCCATCTCTACAAAAAGAAATTAAAATATTAGCTGGGCATGGTGGCACATGCCTACTCCCAGCTCCCAAGGAGACTGAAATGGGAGAATCCCTTGAACCCTGAAGTTTGAGGCTATAGTGAGCCATGATTGTGTCTCTGCACTCCAGCTTGGGTGACAGAGACCCTGTCTCAAAAAAAAAAAAAAAAAAAAACTTATTTTCTTACTAAAAGCAGTTTGATTACTTAATTGTATGTCCTTGTTAGTATTACACATTATCTAAAAGTTAACCTGTTTTGTTTCAGTATTTAAAAAAATTCTTAAATTGTGATAAAATACACAAAAAAATTTACCTTATTCATTTTTAAGTGTACAATTCAGTAGGTTCCCTGTTTTTGCCTTTTATTGCTTAAAATGGTAATTGAAATAGCTAAATTATTTCAAAATAGGCCAATTTATATAGATAATAGAATTTTATAAGAATGATTTATTTATATTCAAAATAATGGCCCCCTTTTTCCTTCAAGGCCTTTTAAAATAGTGTCAACAGGTGATCTTTAATTTAAACCACATTAGATGACATATGGATTATATTTGTTTTTAGGAAATAAGCTCACCTTAATCTATATTGCTTGCCGGGCACAGTGGCTCACACCTGTAATCCCAGCACTTTGGGAGGCCAAGGCGGGAGGTCAGAAGTTTGAGAACAGCCTGACCGACATAATGAAACCCCGTCTCTACTAAAAATATGAAAATTAGCCGGGTATGGTGGTGGTTGCCTGTAATCCCAGCTACTCGCGAGGCTGAGGCAGGAGAATCATTTGAACCCAGGAGGTGGAGGTTGCAGTGAGCCAAGATTGCATCACTGTACTCCAGCCTGGGCAACAGAGCGAGACTCCAGCTCAAAAGAAAGAAAAAAGTCTGCATTGCCATTAAGAAAACCTTAGAAAAATTTGTACTTCTTAGTTCTTTCTGCTCAATTAGCTGTGTTAGCATTAGTGTAAAATACAGTTTTCAGTAATTTCTGTATGAAGCCTTTGTACCACCTATGTTTTAAAGTGATGAGGATGGAGTCAAAAGGATTCCGATGTTTAGTGGAGCTGCTTTTCATTGGAGAGTCCCGTCAGTTTTGACACCCTTGTTTCACCACAAGAAAGCACCTGAACACCCTGGGTTGTGTGCTTACTACTCGGGGGCTTTTTCCCCAGCTTTCAGAGCACTGAATTATTGTGAGCTGGTGACTCTGCAGGCCTGAGTGGAATTAGGGTTGGTGAATGTTGTTGCATATACATTTGTGAATTAACCACTATTTAAATGATGCTGCTTTTTAAAGTTTTTCAAAGTACAATAGATTTTTGAAGTTTCAGGTAACTGGAAAAATCTTTAATTTTTGCTTTAAGTGTTTGGAGCAGGATAAAACAACATACAAAATATAACATGATTTTTGCTTTGAAAAATTCAGTGCAGGTGACCATTTACTGTTTATTCTGTAACCCTTTCTGTCTATCTATAACTAATTTCAGTAACAGTGAAACTTGATGAAGTTTTTAAAAATGATTTACTGTAGGGACAAAGTTATATGGAATGTTTGTGAGTTATTTTCTATACCATCTGAATGTACTGCCAGTGAAGACTGTAAAGGCAGAAAACACTATTTTGGAGGGAGAATACAGATTGCTTAAAATTTTTCATAAGTTGTGAATGATAAAAAGTCAGTTTGTATCGTTTTTATAATAAATCCCTATTTTGAAAAAAATGCTAAAAAGCCTCATTTTTATAAAATTTTTCAGATTATATTTGTACCATGGCAACAAGACACAAGAGAACAGTTTCACAGCTATAAAAAGTTATTTAATATGGGCAAATAATATAGTTCTTCATTTTAAAAAATCACAAGGATAGCCAGGCACAGTGGCTCACACCTGTAATCCCAGCACTTTGGGAGGCCGAGGCAGGCGGATCACCTGAGGTCAGGAGTTCGAGACCAGCCTGGACAACATGGTAAAACCCATCTCTACTAAAAATACAAAAATTAGCCAGGCATGGTGGTGCATGCCTGTAATCCCAGCTACTCAGGAGGCTGAGGCAGGAGAATTGCTTGAACCTGGGAGGTGGAGGTTGCAGTGAGCCAAGATCGCGCCACTGCACTCCAGCCTGGGGGACAGAGCGAGACCCAGTCTCAAAAAAAAAAAAAAAAAAAAATCACAAGGATAATTTACAGGAAATGAAATCTGGGGCAGTGCATTAAAAAGGATTAAATTGGTGTTATTAGCACTTCACGTGTATCATACTAAAGAAAAGTAGTAATGAACAGGAAACTTTGTTGAACTGTTCTTTAAAATGTTTTCAGAAAGTTTGTACTAGCTATATTAGGCCAGTTGAGTTTTCTGTAGCAGATGAAATAGAAAACTAACAAAGAAATTGCTAGAATATTGAACTTTCAAGACTTAAGAGATCATGTTCACTGACCTCTATTTACTACCCGAGGAAATTCTTAAGAAGTTAATGATATGAAGTCAGAGAGTTATCAAATAACGCAGCTCAGACCAAAACTGGGATGCCCAACTCCATATCCAAATGTGCTTTACACTTGTCATGATGAAGATGTAAAGCACCAGGTTATTTTCTATTTTCTTCTGCTGATGAATTGATAGAATGTTTCTAATATAGCTGATTGTTCTTTTTGAAAATTAATTTTACACAGTGAAAGCATGTTTTTCCAAGTTAACTCTGAAGTCATGGACCATTTATTTCAAATGATTGGTACATAAATTTCTAATATCCATTTCTCCACAGCAGCATCTGTTCAAACTTGGTCTGAAGTTCACTCCTAGATGATGTACTTGTGATATTCATTCAAACCCAGAGTTCTTGGCTCTAATTTTCTGAGAACCGGGCCTTGCCCTGGGGCACAGACCTCATTGCACCCCAGACCTTGTTGGGAGGGCTGCTACCTATGGTTTTCTGATGGACTAAACTGTGCCCCCCAACAAATGTATATGTTGAATTCCTAATACCCAGTACCTCAGAGCATGACCTTATTTGGAGACGGGGCCTTTAAAGAGGTTTCAAATTAAATTGAGACGATTAGGGTGGGCCCTAATCCAGTCTGACTAGTGTATTTGTAAAAAGGGAAGATTAGGACACAGAAACACCAGGCACATGTGCTCACAGAGGAAAGACCATGCATAGAGCAGCAAGAGGGAAGCCATCTGCAAGTAGAGGAAACCATCCCTACTGGCACCTTGATCATGGAATTCAGCCTCCAGAACTGTGAGAAATGTTATTTCTGCTTAAGCCATACAGTCTGTGGTATTTTAATACGGCAACCCTACCAAAAGAATCCTTTGCAAGCCTTTTTTACCCTGATTGTTGACTGAAATGGCTGTTGGCAATTTGGCCATTGTATTTGCAAGGACCACTCTTAATGAAATTGACACAAAGAGAGGCTTAAGTTAGTGGGAACTCTGGACTTACCCAGGGACTACCATGTAATCATTATACTGGGGAGGTTGGTAGGTCTGGATCAAGCTTAAGATTAAAAAAAAAACTTAAGGTGGCTCACGCCTGGAACCCCAGCACTTTGGGAGGCCGAGACAGGCAGATCACTTGAGGTCAGGAGTTCAAGACCAGCCTGGCCAACATGGTGAAACCCTGTCTCTACTAAAAATACAAAAAAAAATTAGCCGGATGTGATGGCGCACGCCTGTAATCGCAGCTACTTGGGAGGCTGAGGTGGCAGAATCACTTGAACCTGGGACAACAGAGGTTGCAGTGAGCCAAGATTGCACCATTGCACTCCAACCTGGGCAAGAAAGAGAGACACTGCCTCAAAGAAAAAGAAAAAGAAAAAAAATTGTAATATAATGATAGGCTTTGACTTAAATCTCACATTCACTCATTCAGTAAACATTTGTTGAGTTCCTGTATGCCAGGCATTGCCTTGAGCATTGGGAAGATGGAAAACACAGGCATGGTCTTTGTTGTCTGGGACTGGAGTATAATAAGTGAGACACACTAGTTACACAAGATGTATAATATGCAATGAAAATGTATAATGGGGTGGGGTAGAAAGTGGGATGCCAGGGAAGGAGTCCTTGAGGAAGTGACATCCCAGCAGAAACTTGGAGGTTGAGTAGGAGTAGCCAAACCTAAGTATGTTCCATGTAGGTGGGGGAGTATTAACAGAAGCCCCAAGGCCTCCCCTTCTCATTGTGGAGAGCTATAAAACCAGCACATGGCAATTGTAACCTTGGGTCTGCACCCTAAGTTTAATTCTTAAAACCAAGTTCTGTTAAAATCTCACACTGACAATGCCATTAACAAGCTTATCTTCCCAGGTACAGAATAAGGATGAGACAAGATCAACCACTCTTCTGCCTACCCTAAGATGGATGTATAATTGAGTCTTTATTCCCTTTTTTCAAAGTTTACCTTATATTATGTGAAACAGATTTACTGAGCGTTAACCAGAGTCTCACAAGAACGTAATCATTTGCCTCATTGCCTACCCCTCTCCCTTTTCCTTCCTTGCTCTCCCCTACCTAAATAATGAGTTTCCAAAACGTCTTTGGAAAGCTCAGGTCACAGATGCTCATGTTACTTGCATTTTTTTCCCTGGTATGTCTTTAAACTTTGGCTAAATAAACCTCTACTGATTTAAGACACTTGCCTTAGTCACTTTTTTTGGTTAACAGGTTTTCTGATTCACAAGAAACTTATAATGACCTCTGGGAAGACAGAGGTTGTAGCAAGAGGTTTACTTACTCTGAATTGTAAATTTTTTAGTATGCTAGATTTTTAACAATATATATTTATTTTTTCATTTAAAAAGAACAAACATGACCCAACAAACTTTTGGGAATTTATATGCTAGAAATTACAGTAAAAAAAGGCATGTAAATGGATGTTTACTGCAGCATTATTTTGTGTTAAACTTTGCAAACTAAATATCCATCAATTGGGAAAATTGATGAATAAATTACAACTATATAATGGGAGCTACAAAATGCTTGATTATAGGCAACAGAAACTGGCTAATGCAAACAAGACAGCTGGAATACTGATGTTATTTGCTTCAGGACATTTCCTCCTATGCATCTGATTTTTACATATTTGTAATTATATGTGTAATTTATATTAAGCTTTTTATCATGCAAATTTAGGTACAGATTTTCTTCCTATTGCTAGTGTCTTCAAGCCATAGACTGTAATCAACTGTATTAAGTGAATTTTGATACGTAACTATTCCCCTACTGTAGGATATTTAGGTTGAATCTAATTTGTATACTTTAACACTACCATAATGTAGCTTTGACCAGCGGTAACAGTGAAGGAGAAAAATGGTGGGATTTTGATATTTTTGGAAGGAAGAGCCAACAACAGGATTTGCTGATGAATAGGATGCATGGTATGAGAAAGTGGAATCAAAGTTGTCACCAAGGTTTTTGGCCCTAGCAGCTGCAAGGATGGGAAAGAGTATGGAGAGGTTCTGGGAGATTCAGTTTGGCTTTGGACATCTTAAGTTTGAAATGTCTCTTTGACAGTCACAGCTGCATGAATCTGGAATTAAGACGTCTGTGCTAGAACTGTGAATTCATGAGACATCAAGCATAGAGGTGATATTTAGTCATGAGACTGGGTGAGATCACCAAAGTGAGTAGAGATACTGCACAGAATAGGTGTAACGACCGAGCCCAGTGGCTCTCTAATGCTAAGAGGTCAGAGAGAAGAAACAAAGGAGACTGAGGAACAGCCAGTGAGGTAAAAGGAAAGTGTCTCCTCAAATTCCAATTAGAAATTACCTTCATCAATATTTTACTAAAAAAAGTTCTATTTCACTCTGACAATGTGAAAAGGTAGTGGTGATACCAAAATTAAGTTATGAATCTACGATCTTCCACTTCATTGAAGCAATTTCCTTTTTTTTTTGGGGGGGGGGGGGAACGAAGTTTTACTACTGTTGCCCAGGCTGGAGCGCAGTGGCACGATCTTGGCTCACTGCAACCTCTGCCTCCTGGGTTCCAGCGATTCTCCTGCCTCAGCCACCCAAATAGCTGGGTTTACAGGCACCCATCACCATGCCTGGCTAACTTTTTATATTTTTAATAGAGATGGGGTTTCACCATGTTGGCCAGGCTGGTCTCTAACTCCTGACCTCAAGTGATCTGCCCATCTCAGCCTCCCAAAGTGCTGGGATTATAGGGAAGCAATTTATTTCTATAAAATTTTGGAAGACACCTTAATATTAAAGAATATAAATTAGAGCAGAAATTATCTGTGAGGTTATAAATAATTGGGTTTTTAAGAACTGTTCTTTTTATATAAAATAAAAAATATACTTGATAGATGATAAATAATAGATGATGTTTCAGTTTCCTAGGGTTGCTGTAACAAATTACCATAGGCTAGATGGATGAAAACAACAGAAATTTATTTCCTCACAGTTCTGGAGGTTAGAAGTCTGAAATCAAGTAGGCTTGGTCTTTTCTAAAGGCCATAAAGAACTCATTCCATGTCTCTCTTGCAGCTTCTGGTGGTGGCTAGCAGTCCTTGAGTAACTAACTGCCTCTGTCCTCATGCAGCTATATCTGTTTTGTATCTCCTTCTCTCTTATTGTAAGGACACTACTCATCGGGTTTGGAACCCACCCTAAATCCAGGGTAATTATATCATGAGATCCCCTAATCACATCTATAAAGACTCTATTTCCAAATATGGTCATCTTCGCAGGTGTATCAGGTTAGGACTCAGACT